TATTATTTGTCACCAAAATTATTCTTATCATTGCACAAACGTGAAACATTCATTATTTGTTTTCTACAATACCTGCAAACATCCTCTTCTGTTAGAAGAACAAATAAGTCGGGCTTGTGTATTAGCGTCTGTCAATTCACCAAACAGATTCATGTCCAAAGCATCACCCACTACGTACCTGTAGTACTGTGCCGTGTTAGGCTGGTTTCTGTTCCGAAATTATTTTCCTTTTTCTTACAAGGAATGAGATACATGTATGTATAAAATGAAGGTGGGAAGCAGTCAAGTAAAATGAAGTTCTGCTAAAAGGGTACTGTTGAATAGAATGAATAATTCAATGACATGTGATCAACGGTCTACCAATCAGATGACGAGAATACATGTATATGCAGGTATTGTATAACAACTGACATGTAAAAGTGAATGGACTAGGTAGAACTATCAATGGGCTCTTAATCACATATATGCACATGTGTATATGTACATGTATGTACATGTAAAATGCAAGAGACATATGTATAGTAATACTGGAATGATAGCTAGTACTATAGTAACACACACTTTAATGTGTCCCTTTTTAATCAAGATGGGGAAATGTTATGATTATTGTACGCGTGTAAAAGCTGTCAGACAAAAGAACTTGGGCCGGCCAGGAATGACTATGGCCGATAAGTTTTTCGATAATTTTTTTAAAAGTGTCCATTTTCAATCTCAATCTTGAATTAAGAGAGGAAAGCCTGAAGCCTTTTCCATCATGAGAATTATTTTTAAGAAACTATTCTCCGCGTTGTCACTATGCATACTATACAGTGACGGCACAAGCAAAAGGCTGAACAAAGTTTTCTGATAAACAATTTGGCAAAAGAATATTTTGATTGCTTTTCCAACTTGTTTATTACCAAACCAAAAAAGTTTCACCCCAGAGGTTGCCTATGCACACATCAGTACAAACATGTATGGTCTATAAAATTTAATCCTAACTCAAACATGCCAATAGCCAGTGTTGTATTGGAGTCCAGTCACAAGTCCAGTCACAAGTCCCTTCACAAGGCCGGTCATAAGTCCAGTCACAAGTCCCTTCACAAGGCCGGTCATAAGTACATGTAACAGGGGGAACCATAACAACAGAATGTTTTTGTCACAGTTCATTTGAACAGCTTGTGAATTGGCTTAAGGCTGGATGACTTGTGATGGACTTGCAGGGACTTGTGATGGAGTCAAATACAACACTGCTGGTAGATCACTTTCAAGACTGATGTACATGTATTCATTGAAACTGCAACACTGCAGTTACATGTAAATCATACAATATGTGTGATTTGTCCGTCAGAATTCTACTGTACCTGAAAATGTGTTATCTGCAAATCGAAGTAATAGACTGCTTTTCCCAACACCTGAAATAAAACAAAGAAGGCCAACACAGGTTTCATTGAATAAGAAAGTACATGTATGTTTTCAAAAGACTTGGAACATCGCAAAATAACAACTGCAAATTCCTGTGGACTGGTAAAAAAAAAAGGGGGTGCAGGTAAAGCCATCAGAATGAACATCCTGGATTTATGCCAGGACAATTTTGAAACCCATGAGGCTTTTTCATTATAAATTCATTAGTTGGTGTACATACCACACATTGACAGGCAGTATGCATCCATGCAAGGGGAATCAACCTTGAAAGCAAACTAGCTCTCCGTTCATCTTGCTTCATACCATTTGTAAGCGAGTGCATTACAACTCCTGATTTACTTTGCAGTCATTTTTTAACCATTCCCGATGGGAAAAACAATGATTTTTCTGATATAACTTTTTTTGAAAATAATGAAATGTTTTGGCAGCTGTTTCAGCGGGATGTGGGTGGTAAACGGAAATCTAGGATATTCATTCTCATGGCCTACGTAAAAGAGTTTCATACTTGGAACTCAAATGTTGTTTTTCCTAAAAGTGGTATCAGCCATGATGGCAGGCTATGATGGCTTAAACGCATTTGTTCTCAAACAGGCACGGTATTTCCTGGTGCCTCCGTTAGCCAAAATTTTCAACAAGTCACTATTAAACATCAGGAATCTTTCCTGACGATTTGAAAGTGGGTAAAGTTACACCAATACATAAAAAAGGCAGTAAACACAATCTTGAAAATTCTAGACCTATCTCAGTTCTGTCCACTTTTTCCAAAGTGTTTGAAAAATTAATTTATAAACGACTTGTGTGTTTCATTGATAAATACAAACTCAGATTCACAATTTGGTTTCCAAGAAAACCGCCTGACAGACCAAGCAACTTCATATGTTGTAAGTACACTTTTAAGTGCTATAGATACATGTAATAAGAAATGTACAATACGGATAGTTAAATGTACAATACGGATACATGTAGTTTTAGATCTATCTAAGGCTTTTGATACTGTTTTTTTCCCCTCTGTTTTTGTGCTAAGTGTTAATAAAGCCATCAGAAAGTGGTATCATGTCTTAAAATGTCAAATTTACTGGGGAAAAATAGTGAAGTGTTAACTTAAGAAATACTTACAATTTTTCTGACCAATCTCAAAGAATTTGTGCACAGGGTGTCAAGTGATGTCCGGATATGGAACACTTTCTGTGAGTTGATTTTTATGGGATTTTAGTGAAGAAAGGGGTTCAATACCAAGGGAAGAACAGGTTCACAGTCATGACACTGGGGAAGTCTTGTCAGTATTTGTGACACTCAAAAATCCCATGGCCAATGCAATCGTGGCAATGTGACAAAGGCAGTGCTAACATGGCTAAGCCTTCGCATTTAGCATACTTATTCTGAGGTCAGGTCTTGGTGTATCACATTGCTGGCTCATGTAGGCCTAGGCCTACTACTGACAGTAAGCAGGTAAATGGGCCCATTTTCTGCCTTGTTAGCAGAATGTACGTGTGGTTTAACATGATCAAAAAAGCATCTACACGTGTTATGCACAAGCTAACTTGGCCTGGGCCTACCCTAAAGTTTACTGTCAGTGTCTGTCAGAGTCATGACTGTCTGATCACACACATGACACGTAGCCTACTACACTATAGTAAAGTGTAAGAACATGATGTAGGCCTACATGTACATGTACAGTACATGATGTACAGTGTACATGTATGTACATGTACACTGTATGTAGGCCCTACATACAGTACATGTACGTGTAATGCAAGCAAATGCACAAATTTATATTTCCTGCCACACAGATGCCAAACTTACCGCTGTCTCCAATTATTAACAACTTGAATAAATGATCATACTCTTTTGCCATACTGCAAATTGGTTCAGTCAAAAACTATCTGAAGTTAATCATGTACTTTCAGTGGAATATTCTGACTGTACAAGACCAACTTTGCTCGGCCTGGTGTTCTCATACGACCGGGAACTCCGCCTTGCTCTTTGAGTGACGTCATTATGTGTGTCATGTACAGTCGAAGGTTGAAGGTCAATATCAACCTTGTTCTCAGGAAACGGTTGTCGTATTCAATATTGGGTAGTACATGTTACGATTCACCTCCGGACGCGGCGCGCGACGACGTCGCGCAATAGTACACGTGCTTATGTTATGTGAAGTTGAAGAGGTCAAGTTGGAGTCTTGGTAAAAGTTATGATGTTTGTTAGAAATGTTGTCACTTCAGCCACATACACCCGACGACTGATCTCAAAAACCATAGCAACGAGTGGGAAAAGGTAAAACATGTTTTTTAACTTTGCAATATGAACTATGGTGTCATGGATGTTGAAAGACCCTACTTCATTTTCATGAACTGAACTTTATGACCAGTGATGACATGTACATGTACAGTATGATGTAGGCCTGCATATACAGCAACTTTAATTACAAGTCCAAGTTACATCCTAGGCCTATACTCAGTTCCTAATTTAATTCTGTATTACATATTATCACGGTAACTCTATTGATTATCGCGATATCGGAAATTTGGAATTTTGCTTTGCCAGTGTGAGTTCCCAATTTTCAATAATCGCCCAGGTAATCAATAATTGATGGCCTGAGCCAGCGGATAAGTTTTATTTTGCACGTTTCCGTAACTTTTGACAATTTTTAATAAAACTTTTAAAACTTAGATGGAATTTTTCCGACATTTGTAATTATCCCTGACCGTATCCATCATTACCTACTGAGTACTGTCTACCTCTTTAAATAGTTATTTCTAACGCCACCCTGCCTTTAGATATCCGTTGCTGGGTGCCCATATTTTGAATTGGCCAAAGGTGTCTGAAGGCACATGACTCATTTTTTTTTAGTCAAAATAAGGGCCTCTACACTGAAAAACTTTCTGCATGCGCGTCCCCAATCTCCATTACAATAGACTTGTTGTTGTATTAATCACTATAACGTTAAAGTACATGAACATGTAGCTGATCAGCCCCTGCATATGTGCAAATTGACACTGGAGCTGTTCAGAGCATCTTGCCGTACCACATATTCTGAGCCATCTGCCCAAACCAGGAGGTGCAGCCGACAAAGCAGAATTTTGAGTCATGCTCCTGCCATCCCTTGCAGATTGAGGGATGCATAACCCTGGCAGTTTAGTGTGAGCACAGGTCAATTCCTGGTCAAATTCCTTTCCTCCAGAAAAAAGCCGCCGCTTCTTTCTGGAGAAGCCAGTCAACAGCTGAGTCTCACATCACCAAGGTGGAGCCCACAGACAGGGTCAGCTCAATGGTGGTTGTGGTGAAGAATGACAAGATCCGGATCTTTTCAGACCCCAAGGATCTGAACAAAGCCATAAGACGAGCACTACCCCATACCTACGATCTAAGAGGTAGTGGCAGCAGTTCCTAAAGCAAAGGTTTTCTCCGTCATAGATGCAGGATTTCTGCAAATCAAGCTCCATTACGAATCCAGCCTGTTGACAACACGCAGCACACCAGTAGGGCGTTGCGGATGGTCGAGGCTCCCCTTTGGCGTAATAAGCACTCCCAAAATATTTCAGCGCATCTAGGATACATGCTAGAAGGTATTGATGGTGCCAGAGCCGTGATGGATGACATCCTCATCGCTGGCAGAGACGAAGCTCATGACAAGATCATGAAAGAGGTTAGAGAGTTACAGACTGGAACCTCAAGCTGAGCTTTGAGAAATGTCAGATCAAGAAAGGCGGAAGTACGGTATGTCGAACATGTCTTGACTGAGAATGGTCTTCGGCCAAATCCAGAAAAGGTCAAAACAGCAATAGAGCAACTAGCGCCATAGAGCAAGGAAGACATCAGACACTTCCTTGGAATGGTCCAGTACCTGGCCAAGTTTATTTCCAACCTCAGTGAAATCGATGTTCCACCGGGAGAGCTCACAATGGAGCAAGTCGAGTTCCACTGCGATAAACCTCAGCAAAAGAGCTATGCAGTTACAACAGCTGTGCAGCAGCATGCCAGTCCTCACCTACAATACTATGACGTGCAGAAAGACATCACAATACAGTGTGATGCTAGCAGCTTCGCCCTCAGAGGTGTTGTACTTCAAGATGGAAGACCCATGGCATACACATCCAGAGCCTTGACCGAAACTGAAAAGCACTATGCTCGAATTGAGGAGATGCTAGCCATTATTCAAAGCTGTAAGAAGCTCCCCCACAACATGTGCGTATTCGGCAGACCAGTGACAGTGGAAAGCGACCACAAGCCATTACAGGCCTCTGTTAACATTGGAACTAGTCCAAGGAACTAGAACTCTATGAATCACCTCTTTTTACATTTGGACATGGTCGGCGATAGTACATGTAGAGTACAAGAACTTCCATGGGCCTTGTGTACCATTAACTTATTTCATTCAAAATACCTCCTATTCCGAATCAAAATCTGGAGTTTTTAACCCCAATGCAGTCCTGAAACTGTCTAATATGTCCACTGTAGGAATTGGGAAGAACCAAAGATGATGATTCCAACGATGGTGGTAAGATTCACTTACATTTTAAAAGAATTTAAACAAATTTCATGTTTAAGTTGGAAATTCTCCTCTTGTTGAGCTCCAAATCACCATCTTATTGTTATGGGGAAAGAGCTTCATACATGTACATGTACAGGTGTATCTGGACATCACAAATTTTCATTGAAGTTTTGATTATATGTAGATTTAAAAGGGGCGACATTTATGAGGGGGGGCTAGAGATGTGAAAGGGAGTACTGTAATTTAGGGGGACAAGTTTAAAGGAAGGGGCCCCTTCTGAGTCACATGAAAAAAAATCTGTCTTATTACAGTGGAATGCTGCTATAACGAACACGACAGGGTCCACGCTAAATGCTCGGTACAGCGATCATTTGGTATAGTGAAATTAACTGCCGAACGTTTCGTTGCCATGTTGAATAGCTCCCTCTTTTGTCTAACTGAAGCGCACCCTTTTGTGATACTATGATTCGCTGTTTTTGTGATGTTTTGCTGTTGCTTTCACGTTTGAGGTTTCTAGAAATGTATCTGTTAATAATTTTTGTTTTTTATTAAATCTTGAGTTACAAAATTGATATTTAGTTTATCCTAAAAGTCATGAAGCTACCGCTTAGGATTGATCTCTGATGCATGCTCTGGCGAATCTCTGTTGATTTGAACTGCATAATGTTCAGTACGTTTTGTGCATAAAATATTGGGAGCCAAGGACGATGTTCGGTACAGCCAAATGTTCCGTATAGCGGTGTTCAGTATACCGACGTACCACTGTATGTCTTTTTCTTTCAGTGCCTCTACTTTCCCTCTTCAACTCTGTCCCCTCTTTTCGCTGTATTTCTTCACCATTTTCAATATATGTAAACATTTCTGCAGTTGACAATTCACAAGAATAACGGACCAATCACACAGTGCTAGTCAGGTAATCACGACGGTAAACTGGCCAACAGTGTCCGTGCGTTGCGTGGTAAGTGTCCATGATGCATGCAGACGGGTGGGCGATAAACCATGTGCCGTGGCAGGAACTCATGAGCACAGAAAATAAATACATAAACAAGAGACCAAGTTCTGTGAATTAACTTTCAGAAATCCTCTTTCAACATTGATTTTTTTTTACCTGCAGCTGTATGGTTGCATGCGTGTACGACACCAATGTAAGGGCACTTTACGAATAACGAATGATATGACAAACACAGTGGATAACATAACCAAAAAGGACTGTGATGCATTTGTAGCTTACGATTTCACATTTTTCCCGCTGCGACTTTCATATGTAGCCCTGTAATTATTGTACGAATATATTACGATCACTGTGTCGTGAGCGCGGCCTGCTTTAAGACCGGCCAGCCAGCCTTGCACGCTCGTGTAACATGCACGCTGTACACTGTATTCTTGCATATGCATGCACAGTGTATGCCGCATGCAGTTTCGCTGTACATGGTACAATCCGTTGCGTGTTTTTTTTGTCAGTATTGGTTTTCAGTGACAAGAGAGCCAATCAGTATCTATCTTCTTTACAAGGCGTTGAAGCAGAAAGCACGGTGTGCCGTGAGCTTTTGGTCGTCATGAAAACGTTGCTCTGTGCATACATACATGTACATGTACAGCGTGTGCACTCATTGAATTCGAGTAGGAACCCCCCCGCCAGCGAGTCGCACCATAATCATACGTACTGTCATATTCGCATGTGCGTGCACATGTGTTGGTTAGATGTTTTCCTATTTTGATTGAGATGCGTTTGTTACTGTCTGCATCAACTGAACAAAGTTGAAGTGCAGTTTAAACTTTCAAATCCCCTTCAGATTTTTTTTGGGGACAGAAATGTTCAAAACAGGATGAAAAAGGTTCACTTCCACTTTTATTTAAATTAAAAGGACCTGTACATGACGTACATTTGTACAACTGTGTTGAATTGTAGGTTGAAACTTACATGTAATGTTAGTAAGGCCTAAATTGTATATTTTTAATTTGCAAATATAAAAATTTTGGTTCAAATAAAAAAGCAAGAACTTAGATGATGTATGTGTCGTAGACCCGTTTCTAACTGAACTGAAACTACATTAATTTTAAAAACTGCCCCATGAAGATTATAAACCATTAGAAAAAGTGGAAACAATATACCATTACATTGTAGACCCCCAGGGTACTAACAATGTTTGATCTCATTTTCCACCTCTTTTAATGAGTTTATTTTAAGGAGAGCGATTTGCTCTCCTGTGAGATTTGAGGAGAATGATTTATAGCTCTCCTGGATTTTCTTAAAATGAAGGACTGAAAATGCCGTCTCAAGTATGGTACTAGTGGGGTAAAGGTGCGTATTGAGACAAATCCTGCTACTAAATGTACACAAAATGTAGGCTTTCTGTAAATATTGGCCCCCCATACAAATTGTAGGCAATAAGAGAAAGCTGTAAAGTGACACACTAGATATATTTTTGCCCTCCAATGCACCCTGTATCTGTGTGGTCAACTAGGGCTAATAGTCACTTGTCTGTGCAAATATTGCAAAGCTGGAGTTATTGCACTTGTCTTTTTACTTTCAGATCAGTGAAACTTGCATATGATGTTATTGGACCGGAATCATCCACAAGCATTACTCCTATTGTCATTCTGCATGGACTCTTTGGATCAAAGAACAACTGGGCTACATTAGCAAAGAAGATCAACAGAGAAACACAGCAAACAGTAAGAGTTTTCCATGGTTTCAGGGTTGGGAAGTAGGTTTTACCTCACAGCTCAAATGCCCATATTTAGATGACATTCAGTTTCTGCATTATTTTCTCAATTATATTTGTAGAAGAGTGTTGGCAGGGCAGTGTAGGGATGCCCCGAAGTGGAGATAGGGAGAAGTGGTTTCAGAGCAAACTGACAAGGGTGTCATGGAAACGGGCCAAAGTGACCCCAAAATAACACAGATACATTGTAGAATGCTTTAATTTACAATGTAGGTGGTCCTTGTCTCCTACATTGTAAGTACTGTGCGCAGTTTCTTGTGAAACTTTGTTGATGGGTTGCCTAAAAAAAGATACATACTCATGTAGCTTGGTAATGGTTTTTATGCCATAAACTGCAACCTATAGATCAGTTTTGGTTTGAAGTGAATGGCTTTCCATGCTGTACAAATGATAAGGCCTTCAAATTTTATTTGTGTACTCAAATCAATTTGTTGATTGTTCTGTTGCACTGCTCTATTTAATTGATTGAAAACACACTTGTGTGAAGGTAAAGACTTCTTTTCCACAGATGTCCATGTTAGTCGTGTGGGTTTATGCATGACAGAATGTGGTGACAAGAACAATAATAGTACACACTCAGGAGTATTTCTTCTTATTCCTCGATATTGTTGCTGTTCTTTTGAGATTGCACATTAACACTTTGGATATGTGTTTCATAGCATACCTGTATTATGTACACATACATACTTGTTTTGTTTTATCAGATCTTCACAGTTGATGTGCGGAATCATGGGGATAGTGAACGCGGTGAGGGAATGGGGCTAACGGCAATGAGAGATGACCTCTTGATACTTTTGAAGAATGACCTCCAAGTGGAACGATGCATTCTGATTGGCCATAGTCTGGGAGGCAGAATTGCAATGGTTACTGCATTGAGTGAGGTATGTGTACAGTGTAGTTTCTACCTTCTGCATGTACAGTTTTGTGGTTGAAACAGGCGTTTACAAGAAGCAGATGATGCATTGGGAAGAGAGCTTTGACTTCCACAAGTACACACCGTAAGGCCTTTCCACGCTTTATAAAATCTTGGGGCTGGTTCGGGGGTGATGCTTGGGTTGAAAATATGCTACGTTTCCACACTTGAAATTAGTACCCCCATGCCACCTGGAATCATCCTCGAGATTGCTGTTTCCTTTGGGCGAGTTCAATCGTGCTTTGGACCAGAGTTGAAAATTGTCACTTTCCGTGGGCCAAGAAGGGTATTGTGAAACAAACAGGAGTGAGTTTTTCCCAGGGCAATCATCAGAGGGTTAAAAAGACTCTTAAAACTGAAGTCCAAAGATTTCTGGGTACAGAAAATGGATGGAACTTCACAAAAACTAAAGACAACACAGAATAGCCAGAAAGCTGCATTTTTGGAAATTATACATTAAAAAATTTTAATACATGTTGAAAGGGAACATCATAGGGGAAAGGGAACATTGATAATCAATAACTGCCTTTTTTTTTCTCTCATTTGAATTGTGCTTCAATATTTGTCTTGTGGTCCATTTGTTGGTTGCACAGCCTCAACTAATAGACAAGCTGGTTGTTGTTGATGTGTCTCCAGTGCGTACTGAAGGTGTTTACCAGTTTCCAGAGTTCATCTCGGCAATGAAGGCAGTACAGTTTGACCAGAGTGTGTCTCTGTCACAAAATAGAAAGCATGCTGGACAACAACTGCAGTCAGTTATTACAGTAAGATGAGTCACATTTCTGAGGCAGTTAGAGAGTGACCGTTATTTTCTGTGGCCGAAGGCTGGTGGAGAGGAGCATGTATACTCATACCTGGATAGTGCGTGTCAATATTGGGGGATGTTTGGAAAGGTCCACATTTGCTAAAAGAACAAAAGGAGAGTACAGAAACCGAAGTTTAATTTTTGAGTCGACCACATGCAATCACTTGTTTTCAGAACAGTGATAAGCTACCGGTACATAAAACTGTACTTGGAGCATGGTCCACCCAAGAGGCTGGGATCTGTAGTGCACCATTCATTGTCATCCATCCATCTTGAACTCTTGTCTGGTACACACCCAACCATCCTCTTTCATGCACTCACTCCATGACGGTACTGATCTCTCTGACCTCATCCTCAGTGCCAAAGAGTGCCACCAGCAGTGACTCAAAAACTCTGCTCCATGATTGGAGTTAACATAGGATTAGGGATGGGACTGTGACTTGAATTTGGTAAATGTTTAGCAACAGTTTTGCGTAGGATGTACATGTACAGTAAGCACTACCTTATGCCAGGCAGCATATGTGAAAATGTTGCATCAAACTGAAGATGACATACATGTGCATTGTTAAAATTGTGTACATCCTGTGCAATGGTCATTGGAAGAACTTCCTGAATTGTGATAGGTGCTAAGGTTGTTATTTAAG